ATGATAGCAAACCAAAGTACATCCCATGCTTTCCTCTCCTCTTTTGTTCCTCCAAATAGATAATGTTGGTGAAACACATTTTTGCATGAATTATCTAGCACATAAGAAATATTCCACCACTGAAAGCATCCCATCCATAATTTTCTTGCAACTTTGCACTCAAGGAATAGATGATCACAGCTTTCATCCTCCAAATTACAAATAGTACATGAACCAGAGTTACCTCTTATGGTAATGCCTCTATTCCTCAAATTTTTCTTTGTTGGAATCTTGTTTTGTAGCAATTGCCAAGAGAACCCACAAACTTTCAGTGGAACCAAAGCATTCCAAGTTTTCTTAAAGAAGCATGTTTCCTTGACACTGTTAGTTGGCTGTAGGAAGTTGTACACATCTTTCACTTTATATTTGCCTTCCTTATCATAATGCCATTGCCATTTGTCTTCTTTTCCCTCCACCGGTTGTACATGTTCCAGCATCTTTAGTAAGGCTTCTTTTGATTCTTTTTCCCATTCGTAGAGTTGTCATCTCCAAAAGAAAGTCCATCTCCATTTGCCATTTGACCAAGTGCCCATGCCATGAATTGAATTGTTCTTTCCTGTAGATAAAGAAAAAAGTCTAGGAAATATTTTCATTAGTTCCTGCTCCTCTACCTAGACATCCTTCCAAAAACTAGTTCTTTTCCCCTCACCTATCACCCTTTTAAACCCCTTGCCTAACCACTCTTTCTTATGAAGGCACCCATTATTAATGTTGCATATGTCTTGCCACCAAGTCGACCTTGCTCTTTTACTTTGACATAGCCGTTTCATCCAATCTCCCTCATTATCCCCATATTTTTCTCTCAACACCCTCTTCCATAGTTCATTACCCCCTACCAACAACCTATTCCACCATTTTCCTAACAATGCTAAATTAAACCATCTCAAATTTTTTATACCTAGCCCACCCTCATTCTTATCTCTACACACATTTTCCCAACACACCCATGCCACTTTCTTTTTGTTCTCACTTCCCCCCCCATAAGAATCTCCTACGAATTTTATCTATTTCCTCAATGACCCCTCTTGGAATTTTATACATTGATAAGAGAAACACGGGTAGGCTTGAAAGCACGGAGTTAATAAGAGTGATTCTACCTCGAAAGGACAAGAACTGACCATTCCACAATGACAACCTGTTTCTACATCTCTCCATCAGTGGGTGCCACATAGCTAGCCTTCTCGGATTCCCACCAACTGGTATACCCAAGTATTTAAAAGGAAACTCCCCCACAGTGCAGTTTAGCAAGTCTGCCATTCTTTCCCTCCAATCCTTTTCAACATTCACGCCAAGTAATTGGCTCTTGCTATAATTGATCTTAAGTCCCGAAACAAGCTCAAAGGTTCTCATCATAGCTTTGACTGCCCACACATTCCTCTCAGTTGCATCCCCAATTATCACAGTATCATCCGCAAATTGCAAATGAGAAACAATCAAGCCCTTACCTCCAATTGATACACCCTTGAACATATTTTTCTGTTTTGCACTTGAAATTATCCCATTCAAGCCCTCAGCAACTATAAGGAATAGAAAAGGTGATAATGGATCTCCTTGTTGCAAACCACGGCTCATTCCAAACTCCCTAGTAGCACTTCCATTCACTTGTACAGACACCATACTTGTCTTTAGGCATTCACGAATCCATAGATTCCAAGTCTCGCAAAAACCCATTCTGTTCAGCATGTATTTCGAAAAACTCCAACAGACATTATCATAGGCCTTTTCAAAATCAACCTTAAAAATGATACAGCTTTTCCTTCTTCTTTTCACCTTTTCGACAACTTCATTGGCAATCAGAACCCCATCCATCAGTCGTCTATCCCTAACAAAAGCAGACTGCTCTTCACAAATGATGTTACCCAAAATCCTTTTAAGACGGTTGGCAAGCAACTTAGCAATGATCTTGTACATGCTACCTATCAATGAGATAGGCCTAAAGTCTTCAATTTTCTAGGGATTCTCTTTTTTGGGAATCATTACAATAAAAGTAGCATTCGACCCTCTTACCATTCTACCGTTAACTTGGAACTCCATCACAAAATTCAATATCTCCTTTATTTCCCTCCACATGGCTTTTAAAAAGCCAAAATGAAAACCATCTGGCCCCGGAGCTTTATTACTGTCACATTCCCATATCGTTTGCTTCACATCTTCCTCAGTAAATGGCGCCACCAACATTTGATTGTCTTCTGTGGATATTTGTTTAAAAGGGATCCCATCCAAGGTCGGTCTAACCCATCCTTCCTCAGTAAATAATTCTTCAAAGTATGCAGCAATCCCCTC